AATTCAGGGAGCAACCAGTTGATAAGCCTTGAGCAAGGCCAGGCTGCCCATTTAGGGCCAATTGGCCACTTTAAGGAATTTGTGACTTGATGGCTTCCCTTAATGAAGCTTCAGTCAGGCTTCAGGAAGAGGAGCACAGCAGGACTGTGAGGGCTGAGGTAGGAGTAGGGGCAGTGCCAGGTGTGCAGCTGTGTACCTGTGGGCGGGGCTGTGGGAGGAGCGTGGCAGGACAGGGATGTTTACGTAGTAAGCTACAGGCTTGTGGGAGGAGCTGAGTGGAACAGGAGGAAGGCCAGAAGCCACATCCTTAGACAAGAGGCAAAATGGTCAGGCCAGGGTTCATCTGGGACCTAACCTGATTCTACCGGTGCTCTCCAGAGGGCATGCAGGCTGCAGGAGGACAGGAACTCTTGCTTAGGATTCAGGCAGCCCTAGGCTGGGTTTCAGATGATAAGGCTGAACACTCCAGGCCAGACTTCCAACTGCTTGGAGTCCTGACGGTTTCAAGGCCTATTTTGTGTGGGAGGGGGAGAATCCCTACTCTCCTGGCCAGCTGCATCTAAGACTGAAGTTGTCCAAAGCACACAGTCCACCTTGCCCACTGAGCCTGCTCTCCCCATCTTCCACATTGCAGTTGATGACACAGCCTTCCCCCACAGCCACTGTGCTCTGCTGCTGTCCTGTGTTACACAATCATGAGCGGTTCAATGGGAATGAAGGTCTGGATCCCTGCCTCTCCAGCACCTGTAAGAAAATAGGCTCCTCTTCCAGGTCACGAGGGCCACTTCCTAAGGATAGTCCTCATCTGCTGTCCGAGTTCCTCCCTGAGTCTCTGGATGACATGGTCAGCCTTCTGGATGTCTTCTTTCCAGATATCTTCCCTCCAGGTGCACACTGCAGGCAGGTTCAGTTTCTAAACTTTGATTCTCACCAACCCCCACCAGTACTTCAAGCCTTCTTGTTTTGTGGTCTCAACAACAGACATCAACCCCAACTTTCTTTGCTCTCTGATTGAACATGTCTCAGGGTACTCCTGTTTTGGGTACTCCCTTTGTCTAACTCAGCAGGCTCCAGCAGGGCAACTTGCTGTGACAATTTCCCATACTGTACAATGTTTGCCCCATGTGTCCTAGCTGCCCCATTCCTTTGAGACAGAGCTCGAATGTCACCTGCACTGTCTCACCACTGAAAATTAGGAATTTTTGTCTCTGGGCTCTGATAGCATTTTACAAGGATCCCCATGCTTCCTGTCTTCAGGCCTTGGACTATGAGGTTGTAGCTGTGTGTGTGCCCTCAAAGTTGGTGCTGACACAGGGTCTCTGATTTCCCTAAGGCCAGGGGATGAGAGTCAGTGAAGGCTGCCATGGCCATAAAGACGACAGGCCCAGATTCTTACCTATGTTGGCCTCTGCTCCTGGGCTCCTTCCTCCTTGGTTGGCTGCTGGCTTCTTCCTAACACCTCAGCACATCCTTGGAGCTGCTTCAAATCATAGTGAGGTACCCTGAATGTGCCCTGCTCCTCCCCAGTGTCCTGCTGGAAGTTTCCTAAGGAACCAGATCCTCACAATAGGATACCATTGGTGAGGAAACCCATGGTGACACTGCATTGGGACTCCCTTTCCTGACTCACATAGCTGCAGTGTGGGGGTGTTGTAGTGAGCATGTTGAGTGGGGTGCACACTAACACAACTTCCCTGGGAGCCACAGTGAGCAGCAGAGGCCTGATCTCTTACCTGACATGGAAATGCAAGGTCAGGTCTCTGCTGCAGTGATAGACAGACCTTGAAAGAGACACTCGACCAGGTTACAGGTAGGGTGCAGTAGCATTCTGCTTCTCCTCAGAGACCAGGTTCCTGTTCTATGACCCTGTCACTCCTTTCTTTCCTTCTTTTCCCATCTTAGAAAGTGCTGCCACCACCCCTCCCTTGCTTCCTTGACTCTAAAGTAAACAATGAGTGTGCCGTTCCTGGAAAGTGTTCCTCTTTGTTCCCATCCTGGCACCCAGACTCCTCAGGTGTGTCATCTTGATCCTGATTCATAGGATCCCCTATAGTCCTTGTTCAGTGTAGCTTGCTCCTCTGGGAAACATTGGTAGTACATTTTGCTGTGGAGTTCCATGCCTTTTGTGGGTTGCATGGTAGGGGCCCTTTTTGAAGTCTGTAGAATAATCTTGTGCTGAGTATTTCTGTTTCAGTTACCTTGACTCATCCCCTCTTTGGGATTCTTTCTCCTGTCTTCATAGGGTTGATTTAATATTTTTAATTTATTATTATTTTGTATATTTTTGTGTTTAACTTGTATTAATGTAACTGGACCACATACATGCAATGCCAAGGGAGGCCAGAAGAGGGTGTGGGAATATCTGAAATTGGACTTAGGGACAGGTGTTAGCCACCTTGTGTTCTGAGACTTGAGCCTGGGTCCTCTGAGAATTGAACCTGGGTCCCCTGCAAGAGCAGCCACATAGTCATCTCTCCAGCCCCCGTAGGCTACTTCTGACTCAGTATTCACCAAGTCCTGGGAACTGTATGTATAGCAGAGTGTGAAGAATATCCCATTGCCCATCTCTTCTCATGAGTGGTCTCTCAGAAGGTGGCGCTGAGAGGGCCGTGACTCCTGGAGAGGGACTCGTTGTTGTGTTCTCACATTTGCTACTTCACATTTAGTTTTCAGACTGTACCCAGACACATCCAGGGCCAATGTGTGCTGGAGAGGCTTAGGATTGCTAGAAACACAAATGGTCATCGTGTGCTTATTTTCTCCTGCTTAGGCACTCCCATTGCACCTGCCCCCTTCTTCCTGATCCTGAGCACATCTGTTTCCTGGATCCCTCCCCAACTTCTTTCTCTTCTAGGCAAATAGGATCACGTGGTCCCACCTGAGCCTTGCACTGACTCTTGATTGCTGTTTTTCCTTTTTCCTCATGCACTCCATATAGATAGGAAGCATTTGTGCCCCAGTGATCCTGTAGATGCGAGTGGCTACTCACACTCCACTGGTTAGGCTTGGTCTTTGTCACTGGATGTGTATTGGAAGAAGAGAAAACACAGTGACCTTGCAGACACTTAGGCTACTTTCACTTTGTTGGGGAGGTCTGGTGCCTGGCACACGCTGCAGAAGCATGATTTAGACCTCCTGAGTGTCTTGACCTTCTGCCTCCAAATTGTCATATCAGTTTGAATTTGGGGACCTAAGGCATAGATTGCTGTGTCCATGCCCCCAAGCACTTCAGCCACCTTCATTGTCTTCTTTTCTAATATTGCAGTCATGACAATGTGACATGACCCATGTGTCAAGCTGGAGGTCTTCAAACGTCATGTGGTCCTCTGGTCTTTCTCTTTTTCTTACATGAATTGGGGTGGTAGGGAGGCTCTGGAGAACTATTTCTAGGTCTGAGTTGTCCCAGTGTACTATCTGGGGGAGACCCATGCAGCCACTTCTGTACCTGCAAGCCCACTCTGGCAACTTGGAAAATAGAAAAGTGGAAGAATATCAGGAACAAGGGGTGCGTGTGCTGACATTTCAAGGAGAAAATGCTTACAGTACAGGCATACTTCCTCTGCTTCTTTTTATCCATTGTTTGCTTTATTCCATTGAGCTCATGCAATCTCATAATTTAGTCTTTTATTTTCCATTATAATTAGTATTACCCGAAAATCTGAAAAGGTCTTAAATTCTATTCAGCATCTCTCTAGATTTGCAGACTAACATAGAGTATATTGGTTGACAGGCTCTCCTGCTTGATGACCAACCAAGATACCTCCGTGGAATGAACTATCTCACTTTGAATCTAATGAGATCATTTATTCAGAATTGAAAGTACAGGAGCTATGCCTAGGCCAACTTCTGGATGGAGTTCCTTGAGACAACAAGGATAAACTGCAATTGGGACACTATACAATACCTTTGTCATTTTCCCCAATTTCCCCGGCGTTTAGTGATAGAGCACACGATTATAAATCACTTTGGTATGGGTTTTCGGTCCATTCAAGTACCTCCATGCTGTGATGCTGCAGCATCCTTCCTCTCGGACACCTGGTCCATTTTCAGGCATCAGATTAAAATTTAAGAAACGGCCAGAGGGCAAAGACCTGGGAGAATGGTGACTGGATCTTGGGGTGGCAGCCCTCATTCTCCTCATGCACCATTTCTCTCTGAGTGGGCACTCTGGTGACCAGTGTTGGCCTTTTGTTCTTTGTGCCTCTAAGCAGACAGGTTGACATCACTTCTCTCAGCTGTGTCTAGTGCTAACCCATGGTTTGGATTTTGCAGTGCTGTTCAGTGCTGCCTTTTTCCTCTGCTTGTGCTGTAGTTTCTATAAGGGAAGGTGAAGAGAAGGAGAAGGAGGAGGACCAAGAGTAGGAGTGGGAGGAGGTGGAGGAGATGACATTCAGGTCAGGCCTTGTTCACACTGAACAGTTGTCTTCACAGGAATTCATGTGATCTCCCTGGACCCACAAGGATTCATGGCATGCTTCCAAGAGTCTATTGTCCTCTCTCCAGTGCATTCCTCACAGCCCCAGTGCAGAATGTATCCTCTGAGCATGCTCCAGGAACCTAACACTTGGGGCCCTTCTGGCTCATCTACTCTGCTGGCTTCCAGAGAGCTACTGCCTTGAACATTGGTTCCATCCTTTCCTGTCTCCTGTGGGCATTGTGATGGCCAATCCTGGGTGTCAGCATGACTGGATCAGGGATTAACTGAAATGAGAGAGATCTTCTTAATTGCATCATCTGAAGCTGGAAGACACACCCTAAATGTGGATGTTACCTTCTGATGGCAGTCCGTATAAAAGGCCACATCAGAGGAGAACACCTGGCTTCTTGCTGCTTGCCCTCTCTCTTGCTGGTGAGTTTGTCTTGCTGCTGTAGGCTGAAAACTAGCTGATCTTTTGGAATTCGTCAGACCTTCAGTGCCAGATTGGGACTACTGGGATATCCAGCCTTGTGGACTGAGTGACCACGGATTCTCAGCCTCTCCAGTGTGGTGCAGCCATTGTTGGACTACTCGGACTCTATCCTGTGAACTAAGCTGATAAATCTCTATACAAATATATTCATTCTACTGGTTCTCCTTCTTTGGAGAACCCTGACTAATACAGGCATGGAGCCATTGAAAGGCTGCTCAGGGTGGACCATTATATGCTGCTTCAAGACTTGGTGGACCTGCCCCTTCAGCAACTTTTCTTGATTACCTGACAACCTTGCCAGAGCATGAAGTCCTGTTTCCCAGCAAGCAGCAACAAATCCCTAATGTCATCTTATTCTACAGTGCCCGTGGTTAGCACCTTTGACTCCCTATCGCTTGGTGCATGTGACTGCAGCAGCATGCTTTTCCAATGTCTTCCGTAAGTGTCAGCCATCTCCTCTCTTACCAGATGCAGCCTTCTTCATTCTATCCTGGACCTTCATTTTGGGTAGGGCTTTCCAGCTTCTTCTCTGATCTCACCTTGCCTAAACTATCCTGCCCTTTGCATTGCAAGTCTAACATACAACTGTGATGATTGCTCATCTCCAAGAGATAATGAGGGCGTCTCCGACAAGGGAGGCCACTGGAGAAAGGAATTGTGGGACGTTTTCCTCCCTCGAGCAGGTTGGATACACTGTCTTATGAGAAAGGGAGGCAGTTCTGTGCCTTCACATTCTGGGACTGTGATATTCACAGGCCTCCTCACAGGGATTCGACCTTGACACTACAGGCTTGCCTGCCTTCATTATTACCCCTGGCTGACTTTGTGCTTCAAATGCCTTATGGAGGCTGGTTGCAATTTAGCATCTGATGCTGGCCCAACAAGGAGATGGAAACCATGTGGTCAGACCCAGTGAGATGCAGGTGATTCCACTTTGTTGTCAGTCATGTTATATTCACTCAAAGCCTCTCAGTAATCCCCTGTGTGTCACCATAGCAACATAGACAGCTACCATCCTTCCCATAACAATGGAGCTCGTTCCCTTTCAATCCACATGTCTGTGTGACCTCATTAGCAAAGGGGCTGCCTCTGCATAGGTCGGCCATTTCAGAAAAATTTACAAACAGGAAAGGCGTAGGAACTGGACAGCCTGCTTGTGCCTGTGGCTGTCCATATGTCATCCAATCCTCATAACCTCCTGTGTAGATTCAGTGTGATATTGTACCACATTCTCAATTTATATCCTGCCTCTATCACTCTAGGAACAGCCGTGTCAGAGTCATCCAGGGGGCAGAGCACCAGGGAGTTAGTGGAGCCAAAAATTTGATTGGATCTACCTGCCATGAAAATAACAAGAAGGAAGGAATTTGGAAAGCTTGGAGCTACCTGACAGCCTTGAGCAGCCACTCAGATGTAGAACAGGGAATGCCATATCACACTTATACTGTGTTGAGCTGGGACAGTCATGCCACATCCTTCCAGCACTTGACACAGAGTGTGCCATGAGGTCTATAATGACTGTTTGCCTGATTGAATGAAGGAATGAATGCTCACAGTGTGTGCCCTGGAGAGTAGAGAGTGACTGTGGGCTGAGCAGCACATGGATCTGCCCAGTCACTATTTTCACACAGCAGAATCATATGCTGCCTCACAGTGGGCCTCCCAGGAGTTGCTTCTATCTGCCCCTTGAGCATTAAACACCTGTGTGGATGGTGAAGGGATCAGGTTCCCATGCATATGCTGGAGAGGAAGCTCAGTACTTCTTAGCATGACTGTGAGCACAGCCTGCTGGAAGATGGATTGTCTGAGTTCAGCATCATGACACACCTTGGAGGGAAGTCTGCCCACACCGCTGTGTCTGAAGCTACCTGCAATGCATAGTCCCTTCTACATTGCTCCCTGGGCTGCTAGGTACATTGCAGGGACGAAGTGTTCTAGACTCTTCATTTAGAGGGGGGTATTATTTACTGGAGGGTAAATGTGTGGCATTATTTACTGGAAGGTAAATGTATGGAGTTTGACAGTATAGAATGTGATATAAAAATATATCCTTCCCCTTAGATACAGTCAGAATGTGTGATGGCACAGAGTTAGACTGTAGTGGTTAAACATAATGTTGATTAGAACAAAACTGGAGTCACATGGAAAAAGGGAGTCTCAGTGGACTGATGTCCTTGATCAGACTGGCCTGTGGCCATGCCTGTGAGAGATTGTTTTGACGATGATTTGGGAGAGCTCAGCTCAGTACAGGTGGCACCTTCTCAAGGCAGGTGGGGCTGGGCTGTATAAGAAAGGTAGCTGAGCAAGTCAGAGAGAGCAGCGAGTAAGTTATGTTCCTCCACGATTTCTACACCAGTTCCTGCACTGACTTCAGTCGGTAAATGGGCTGTGACCTGCAAGTGTTAGCCAGACAAACCCTTCTATCACCTAAGTTGCTTGTCGTCAGAGAATTTTCTCACAGCAACAAAAACCCTAACCGGGATATAGGCCAAAACCTCAACTGACACCAACAAGGTCCTCCCACACCCACATCCACGGTGCTGATAACCAACTGTGGAGCTGAACCAATAGATTCTAGAAGAGAACACGAATCTTACTAGGCTTTTTCTGTTGGCATGCAAACACAAATCAAAGGAAGAGGGTTTTGTAGAACTGTGATGTATGTACTCAGAAGAGGCTTCTGCAAACAGTCCAAGAAACATCATGGTTTCAGCACGAGGCAAGGAAACAGAACCATACCTTGAGAACTGAACATTATCAGAGGGAAAGATCTGGGCAACTAACAGTTTGCACATATGGATTCAAGTTGAAGTACTAGGCAACAGTGGAGAGCTTTGTTACATGCATATTGCAGTAGAACTTAAGTCATGAAGTTGCAGGGGGTGGTGGGGTAGGACATCTGATGGGAGTAGACACATTACTTTAGGCCACACTGCTTCCTGTGAGACAGCAAAAGCAGAAGCCAATGCCATCAAATCTGCAGTCTCAAAGGTAGTGAGGAAACCACCCCAGGTCACCAGCTACTGCTTGGTATTTAGTCATGAACACCTTAGGCCAGGCAGTATGATTTAGGGATCAGGGAGGTAGGTACTTGTGTTTGCATTTTCTCAGCAAGAAAGGGAGCAGTGAGCTTCTTAGAAGAACAAATCCTAGTATGTTCTTTTTCATGTTCTCTGAAGGAGGTCAAAACAAGTGATGATCTTGGGGACATCTATAATATGGGTCTGAGGTAGGAGGACTCTTTCTCACCCACTCATAGCTCAGTTTGCAGATCCACCAGGGACATTCTGCAGCATAAGGCAGTTCTTTTTCTGTAAGAAAGATGGACAGGGTCATTCTGAACAACTCAGGGATACAGTATGTCCTATACCCAAGCAGCATGGATTACCTTGAAGGCACAAGCTTGCTTATGAGTAGAGAACAGGTGACCATTATGCACAGGCTCCTGCCATCTTTCAAACAGGTTGGGACAGTCGGCATCACCAAAACATAGCTAAAGGACCACAACTCTGTTCGTGAGAAGACAAACACCCAGAACTAGAGATCCATGGACACATCTGGGAGGTTGTGGCATGTCAGCTGACTGATGTTTGGGGACTCCCTAAATTGTCCCCAAGTTCTGCCTGTTAGGAGAAGCCTGTTCGCATGTGTAAGAGAGTCAGGGAAGTTGAATCAGGGAGAAAGCAGAGATACATTCTTACACAGCTGTCTAAGAATTCTCATTCCATCCATAGGACACCATACAGCTGAGATGACCTGTAGGAATGCAATGCTGAAAGGAGCAAATACTAGTCAGATTCAGCATTTCCAGGAGCTTGTGATCCCAGACATCCACAGAATGAGGGAAGAATGCAATGAATGACGAGAGAAACGCAGACATCACAAGTCTCAGAAAGGTGGCTGAACACCTGACCAGAGGGTAGGACTGAGCTCTGGAATCACTGACTGCCTCTTTCAGCACCCTGTTCTCCCCATGTAAACGGATGGCTGGAAATGTGATGGAAGGCATATGTCTGGGCTATCCATCTGGTGTCTCCTCAGACTCTCAGCACTCCGCATAAAGCACAACTTCAATTCCTGTCTCTTCCATTGGCCTTTGAGATGGTGGGTATTCCCAACCTCATTACTCTGTTTAAACCTCTCACAAAAGTTGGGATTACAGACATGCGCCAATACATCCAATTTTAACTTCCTTTCCCAAATCTATTTTAAATTAGACTGAATATTCCAACTTTATTTGTTAATTGCTACTATAAAAACTCCAACTCAGAAACTGCTAGAAAAGAAGGTGGGGTATACACTATAACATAGAGGCATATCAAGAACTTTATATATAGGACTCAGTTCACCCAGAAAATAGGGCCAATAATTGCACGTAGGACCTCATAAAATGAAAACGTCTCTGTACAACAAAGGAAATAATCTAGTACACAGTCTACGGAAGGGGTGTAAATCTTTGGCAGCTATACACCTGCCAAAGGATTAATATTCAGAATACATAAATAACTAAAGAAGCAAAACACCAAGAAGGGGGCTGGAGAGATGGCTGAGTCTTTAAGACCACTGGCTGCTCTTGCACAGGACCCAGGTTCAGTTCCATGGAAGCTAACAACTTTCTGTAACTTCAGTTCCAGAGAATTCGATGTCATTCACTAACCTCTGAAGGCATTGCATGACATGCATGCCCTTACATACATGCGGGCAATATGCTCATACACATAAAATAAAAATAATAAATAAAATATTTTAAAGCACCAGGAACACAGATAACACAATAAAAGGGGCTATAGATCTGAACAGAGAAATCTCAAAAGAAAAAATATAAACACATTAAAAGTGTTCAATCATTAGCAACCAGGGGAAAAATTAAAACTATTTTTAGATTCCATCTCACTGCCCCTAGAGGAGAACCCACAACTGCCACTTTCCTAACACAATGTAACTTCTTATTATTTTCTAAATATATACCCTTATATCCAAAGAAAGTGTAGCTTTCACCACTTATCAGAGAAACTTCTTTTTGCAACAGATGGAGACTATTACAGTGTTCCACACCTTTCAAAAAACAGGGAATAAGTGACCATAGGAACCCAGCACCATTTGATACATCTATAATGCAACCTCTACACCTGATGTTCAAGAGGCACAGCAGAGAAGGGGGTTGGAAAGATTTGAAGAGATAGAAGAGCAGAATGTATGCTACTAGACAATGTGTTCTAGACATGACAGGGAAGTTGCACACATAACATCTCAACATGGTTACCTAAATATGACCTGCACAATGATATCAGTAGCTGACGTGCCAATGTGGATGAGAACATTTGATGAGGTCCCACCTCCATATAGAGCTACAGGCAATCAACATCTGCTCAGAGAGGGAGAATCTGTTGCTTCAGGGACAAGATCCCTGATAAGTTAGCCAATTTCAAGCAGTCAGCCATAAACACATGCACATGAAAGTACCACTAAACGGGCTCAGTACTTTGTGTGTGTGTGTGTGTGTGTGTAAAATAATAGTCAAGGAAGAGGTCAGCACTTGAGAGGGAATGGAGGGGAAATGGGAGGAGTTAAAGGGATAAATGGGAGGGGTTGAAATGATGTAAATACAATACTCATGTAGGAAATATATATATATATATATTTAAAAGAAAAAATATAAATATATTTAAAAGAGAAGACAAATGTCAATAAATGCTTGCAAGGAAGTGGGGAAAGGTGAACACTATTCCACTGCTGGTGAAGGTGCAAAGTGGTGCAGCCACTATGGAAATCAGTGTGGAGCTTCTTCAGAAAAGTAGAAACAAATCTGCCAGATAATCCAAATCTGTCACTCTCGGGCATATTCCCAAAGGACTCTGTGTTATACTAGTGTGATTCTGGTTCATGCACATTCACTGCTGCTCCATTCACAATAGGCAGGAAATGCAAAGAGCCTAGATGTCCTTCCATTGATGAATGGAGAATGAAAATATGTCACATATAAACAATGGCATTTTGCTGAGCTTCAAAGAAAAATGAAATCTGTAGGTAAACAGATAAACTATAAAAAATGCTGAGTGGGGTAGCACAGGCACAGATAACAAATGTGAAGTGACCTTTCTCATATGTTGATTCTATCTCTCAATTACTTATTTTGTGTGTTCAACTTAGAGTTTCTATAGATGCCACAATCTAGAAAGGGGCCTTTGGGAGGGTGTTTCCTAAGAGAGGGGGCATAATAGAACATGGATAGGAAGGGAGAGAGGAAGACAAGGATGTGGTAGGTAAAGTTAACCACAATGATGAAGACAGTGTGGTGCACACCTTTAATCCCAGCACTCAGAAGAATCCCTCTGAGATCCAGTCCAGCCTAGTCAACATAGCCAGTTCTAAGCCAGCTGGGGCCAAAGAAACAAAAACAGTTCAAGTCACAGTCTCAAAAACAAGCAAACAAACAAATGAAGAAGGTATGAAAAAGCCATATGGAAACCTAAATTTTGAGGAACCAAAATTTAAAAATATTTTTAAAAAGTTTAAAGTGATGAAACAATAACTGCAGTACCAGGGTGTGACACCTCCCTATGGGTTGTTGGTTAGAGAGCTCCCTGAGGTCCCCCAAATGATAGAAACTCTTGTGATTCCTTTTAGTTGCCCACTAGAACTAGATGAGAAGAGCCTACCTCTGAAGAAATCGCACACAATGTATGTGTGACATAGAGAAATGAAGCTGGACCTGAGATGGAGGCTTCCTCTTTCCTGACTAGCTTTCGCAGTTCCAGAAGGTGCTATCCAGGAGAAAAATGCATGAAGGACTCACTCATCTGTTCATCCTAGAATCGACAAGATCACCCTGCTAGGCGAGATGTACCCACTTTTCCAATAGCACTCAGATTGGCTTTGATACACAATCCACCATAGGGATTCCAAGCCTACTGTTGTAAACCTGGCCAAAGCTCTTCAACAGGGAAGGACCGAGGCCTATCAAGTAACTAAATACTGTTGTTCAGGTAAATTGACATATCATCAAGCTGTCTTCTCAATATTTGTGTTTATACCCGTAATACGTCCTCAGTCTTAATCACATATGCCTCTCTTTCCAGTGAGCAGTGATGAATGCAGAAATTCATGACTATAGAAGATGCTGAGAATATGTGATGGATGACTACTCAGCCCTAAACAAGACATTTACACTATCATCTAAGGCTCGGGGAACATTGCAGAAATGGACAGAAAGAATGCAAGAGTCAAAAGATAGGGAAGAAAGCTGAGAAAAAGTCATCTTTGAGGGCAAGAAACAGCTATTGCAGTCTTCAAGTCCTGGCAGTTGCAGATGCCTGCACTGGATCTGCATAGGAATGGGCCCAAGGACAGTTGGGCATGGATGGAGGCAGGGCTCAGCCACATCTGCTCCTCACTGCTGAACTGTTTGTGACTGATAGATCCAGTAGCTTTTCAACTGTTACTTATCACCTGTCACTTCATTGCCTGGGCCTGAATTTTATACTTCCCTATCAATTCTTAAATGTAATGTTCATTTAATGGTTTATGAATATTTTCTTTCATCTTGAATAAATAAATTCAGGTGGTTATAATAGCAATGGGATAAAAAGGAATGCTTACTGAGTACTAGGTTTGTGCTACATTTTCCTAGACAATGGTAAACCATACCTTAAGCATTTTACAACTATTGAGCATAGATGAAATACATGAATGAGTTCCAGCATTTATTGGGTCAGAACTCCTAGGCATCAAACTAGATTTAATAGGAAATGTTGTGGCAAGTATGATGGTTTACAGCTCTGCTGGAATTACACATGTTCAGAAGCTCAGCACAGCAGGCCAGCAAGGAGGAGTGAAGGTCATAATACAAAGGGACAAGGCCGTGTGGTCTCTTCCCTGGAGCACATCCTATCTCATTTTCAGTATTAGCCTCCTTCTCCTGTTGCTGGCCTCACATATGTGTGGGCTGGAATCAGCTTCCCAGACTGAATGCTGACAGGCACAGCTTTCAAAAGTACTGCGTAGAGTTGGTTAATGCTGCTTCATTGTACCATCTTGATTCCCATACTCTTCCTCTCTGATTAGCTCCTCACATTGCTGAGAGATTTCTATACCCTATTCTAGCTTTCCCCAAGATTCTTTCATAGTGCCCCATCTCTGACACAGCGGGATTCTTATCTGATTTTGGGGGTGTGGTGAATAAGAGAAGTATTGTGTCTTGTTTCCAGATGGAGACGAGGACAGCAAGTTAGAGGTGTTCCCTTAACCATTGCTCCTTTTTCAGATTTCCTCTTCAGAGAAAGAAACGTGAGCTCTCAAAGGCAACCTTATTAACTAATAGAGATTTCAACAACCTGTGGCAGACACAGACCCATTGAATAGAAGCTCTTGATTCTTCCACTAACCAAATATTCAACAGCTTCCTGTCCCCAAAGCTGACCAGAGTGTGCCTATTTAATAAGTCTAAGTGGCTGCTTCTATCATTTTCATTGCTGAAACTTGAATTAGGACAGACAATAAAGCACTTGATGAACAACCAAATTTAAAAAATTGACTATTCAGGGCTGAAGAAAAATAAAAGGACTATATAAAAGATGAAGTTAAGGGGCTAGAGAGATGGCCTAATGGTTAAGAGCACTTACTACTTTTCCAGAGGACCTGGGTTCAGTTCCCAGCACCCATATGGACCTCCTCTGAAGACTGGAGGTGTCTGCAGCCTAGAAAAAAGGGACTGCACAGTCTGGCTGTACCCTGGGGGTTGGTCATGTGTAAAGAGTAGATGTCAAGAAAGACAGGTAAGATGAATCAACTTTAGGTGAACGTAGGGAGCCCCCATCTCAGCAGAGATGAGCCTGACTCATGGGGTCATCACTAGGGATCCTACATAGGGATGAAGGATATGGTTCCTGCTCACTTCTTGGAGTTTTCAAGATCTTAGGAAGGTGCCAAACTTGATCTGAGTGACCTTGGTTAAGCACAGGGATTCCACCTTTGCAAGAGTCCAGGTGAGGATCCCAAGGGCTAATTGAAGATAACCTTAGTCTATAGCAGACAGAGATCCCACAGAAACCTTCCCTGAACCACAGTCTGAGCCCTCTGTCTTGTTTCCAGATCAGTTGTCTCAGTGCTGAAGAACCTGCTAAGAGAACTCTTGATTTGGGTCATCAGAAGGGGATTCCAGACAATTTAGGACTCACGATGAGGATGGAGGGATTCCCATCACCCAAACACATGGGACTCATCACCTGTGTTCCTTCCTGTCAAGGTTGGGAAATTCTAGGGAGTTTGAGTGGATTCCCTTCACTCTTCTTTTCCCTCTGTCTCGTGGAAATAGACTTTATTCATCAGAGGAAGGAGTTCAGTCCTTGCAATTTACCAAGATGAGGATTGGACAGTTCCTCCACCCCAGAACACATGGATCATATTATATTGGGCCATTTCTTTCAATAGGATTTGTACAGGTGTAGCCAGATATGAGGTACCCTCTATTCTTTTTATTCCATCTCAAGAAATTGGATGTTTGTTTCAAGAATTTGCTTCAGGCCAGCATAAGTTTATGATATGATCCCTTGCCAGGGGAAAGTTGAGAGCCCAAAGTGAGCACAGAAGGTAACATATACCCTATGTAGGGTTACTCCCTACAGTTCAGTGCACCTTTCCCATGATGAATAGGCACCTAGTATTGTCCCTTCAATCTACAGCTGTGCAATGTCTGTGCATCTCACAGAAGATCTAGGGGACAGCAGGTTATGGTGTAGGTCTGAGATGGTACCCTCAGTTCACATACCATGGGTATGATGGATGGGGTCAGGAGACAAAATAACCTTTTTGTTTGAGTATATACCAGGGATCTCAACACCTTAGAATACAGGGACTTCAATTTTTCCAACCCAAAATGCTCCAGTGGCATCCCTGAGGGCTCATGTTCTGTGACCTGGCTGTACCTTGAGAAGCTATGATTCTTCCTCTTCTAGGCTTTCAGGGTCACAGGACTATCAAGAGTCCTTGTGACCCTAGAGAACCACCCAAGCAAAATTATATAACAAGTCTTACTGAGAGTTGCCAGAAAGTAACTGTCAGCAGAGTCCATTTACTCTCTTTCTCTTTCCCCCAGGCCCAGGAGTCATCATTGCTGTGAGCTTCACAGTCTTCTTGCCAAGGCAACTTTCAATGCATCTTACTCAGAACAGCCAACACAACAATCTCCTGGGCATCCCTCAGGCCCAAAGGGAGGTGAGGGGCCTGTATAGTGCCCAGGTTCCTATGCCTGAAGCTGAGGATGAGGAAGCCACTGTCACCACATCAAATGAGGTATCTGCTGGTAGAACACCAAGTTTCCCCCAGAGTTCTCCTAGAACCTCCTCTCTGTCCACTGTCATGGGCTCCATTGCAGGGAGACCATCTGATGAGGGCTTTGTAAACAAAGTAGTGAAGTGGGAAGAACATGTGTTCACTCCTTACTGCATGATGCACTGAAACTTAAGATAGCTGACTTGGTACAGTTATTTCTCCTCAGGTACTGAATGAAGTCACCAGAGATTATGAGGAGTACAGCCTTGTGATCTTCAGTGAGGTCTCTGAGTGCCTGAAGCTCATCTTTGGCATTGATGTGATAGAAATGGACCCTTCTACTCACTCCTACATTCTTGTCATTTCCCAGGGACCACCTATGATGGAATGGTGCATGGTACACCAATGTGGGCCCAATGTGGGCCTCATAATAATGGCCCTGTGTGTAATCTTCATGGAGAGCAACTGAGTCAGTGAGGACATGTTCTTGGGGGGGCGGTGTTGAATTTATATTAAGAATATTTTGTATTTAGGAAGCATAGGAAACTCATCACCGAGGATTCTGTGCAGGAAGGATATCTGGAATACAGGCTGTGCCTGACAGCCATCCTGTTCACCATGAGTTCCTGTGGGACCTAAGAGCACATGCCAAAACTGCCAAGATGAAAGTCTTGGGAGATTTTGCCAGTCACTAGGAGAGAGTCTCGATCTGACCCGATGAGGTAAGCAGAGGCTTTGAGAGATAACGGAGAGAGGCCTAGGCCAGAATTGCTCAGTAGGTGCTACGGCTGCCCTGACCAACGTAAATTGTAGTGCACTAGCAGTTTCCAACCAACAGAAGACAGGAAGAGTCAGCGATATAAATAATTGAATGTCAGCCTAGAGATGATGGGAATACAGCATGAACCTCTCCACTCTTTCTGTTCTGTTTGGGTGGCTCATAGTTATATCTTTCTGGTTTCCAAAATCTTGGCACTTTTACTAGAAGGTTCATTATGTTGAGATTTTTAAGTTACAAAATGCCTTAGTACTATATCTGTTGTTTATTATCCAGTGTGTGAAAGTTTTACTATTTTGCAAAACAAATGAAGATGCCTTACATTTCATATGTAATCTGTCACAAGATGCCATGGCTTTTGAATTAGAATTTATTAGAAAATGGGAAAGAACTTGGAACTGAAATGGAATTTAAAATTTCAACTAATTAATGTGCTTAAAACATTGTTTTCTTTTAAAAATATTTTATCTATTATTTTTATTTTATGCGTATGAGTGTATTGCCTGCATGTGTGTAAGTGCATCCATGTCATGCAATGCCTCTGGAGGTCAGAAGAAAGTGTTAAATTCCCTGGAACTGGAGTTACAGATAATTGTTAGCCACCATGTGGATGCTGAGAATCAAACCCTGATCCTTTGCAAGAGCAGCCAGTGCTCTTAACTGCTGAGCCATCTCTCCAGCCCCATAATATTGTTTTCTTAACCTTAGTCATTACAGCAAATAACTCATGTTGAATATAATTATTTTTTATTACAACGTTATCTGTAGTCTCTCATTCTTGTTAACTAAAATCTAAAGAATACTAATTAGAATTACTTCCCCATGTCCCAAACCCTTATTGAGCACCTGCTGTTTGCAAGGCCCTGTGTTTCCAGTGAGATGTCAGAAGCCAGAGCTATTCTTAAGTATAGACTGGTAAAGTGTAGGAGCAATTGACCTATTGGCAAGACAGTGAAAGTTGCTTTCAGTCCAAGAGAAAACTGAGCTGTTCAGTTTTGCGGTGGAATCAGGGTAGAATCAGGGTGGAATCAGGCAGGGAAGAATCAGGTGCAGGTGTAGCTCAGTGCTAGAACACTTGCATAGCACATGTAGTCCTGTGGGTTGTATTCACATCTCCTCAAAGCACAAAAACAAAATATGCAGAGAGGAATCCTGTTCTGGGGCAGAAATGGCAGTTACAGCTGAACACACCATATACACTGGGTGTTTTTATCTCCGCCATCAGGAAGGGTTTCCTGAGACATGGAAGAATCATAGGAAAGTGTGGCCTAGAAGTCCTTGCCTGGTGCTCTTCCTCCTGCCTGGCAAGGACAGAAAGAGCTGAGTAATAAAAAGACATTGTACTTCTATTTACTCAGAATAATTGGCCAACTCTAAAGAGGCATTGTGTTTGGGGGGAATTGATGAAATGATTGAACATAGTGGTTTGGGTGGAACAACAACGTGGGGGAGGGAGGAGCTCATCGTTGACTCACATTCTAGGAGCTTCCCTGCAGAGGAGACTTTAACACCCAGATTTCAACATGTGTCTGACAAGAGGGATTATTTAGTGAATTTTATTTATGAGATTTCATTGTGGCTGATTAGTCATTCCATGTCCTGCTGAGCTCCATATTCTTTGATATGTCCTGGAGAACAATGACAGTAACAACACTGCCCTCCACCTCCGGGATGGAAGAGACTGTTTTCACACAGCAGAATCATAGTCTCACAGTGGGCTTCCCAGGAGTTGCTTTTACCTGCCCCTTATGCATTAGAAAACTGTGTGGATGGTGAAGGGATCAGGCTTCCATGCATATGCTGGAGAGGAAACTCAGTACTTCTTAGCATGAGTGTGAGCACAGCCCGCTGGAAGACGGAGTGTCTGAGTTCAGCATCAGACACACCTTGGAGGGAAGTTTGCCCACACTGTCGTGTCTGAAGTTCCCTACAGGTGCATGTTCACTTATACATGGATCCCTGGGCTGCTAGGTACACTGAGAATCTGAACTTTGAAGTAGGCAGCTTGAACGTGAAAGGAAAGGACCTGTTACCTATGAGCAAGGACCTGACAAGGCCTCACAGAGAAGTCACTCATGCCAGCTTATGAGACCAAGAAAGTTTTGTTATGTAGAAGTTTGGTAGGAGTCAGTGTGAGTTGGTTTCCTACATCTAAAAACTGAGAGTGGACCATGGATGCATCAGATCTGTTTGTGAAGTGAGGTGGTGGCAGAGAGGGCCAGGAAATGGGATGGACGCCAATTCACGAAGTGTGAGTTGCACTCTGGTCACAGGAGTCAGGGTTGTTCAATTGAGTTTTGCTGTGAACATGGGTTCAGTTGCACACTAAGTTGTTTCCCTAAAGAGAATTCATTGATTGTCTCATTTAGTCATCCAGCCTCTGAGAATCCTTTGTGTGTCTCTGAAGGCTCTGGGCATAAAGACAGCAGGAACAGATGATAAGCTGCAGCTCCATGACTGGGGGACAATACACTTCTATTCAAGTTCCCCCCTGTTGCCCCAGACTGTGCAGTGGAGTAGCTCCTGCTGATGATCCAAAGTCAGACAGTATGATGCTGGTTTATACAGGCATCACCTGCATGGCTCTAGCTACCACCGTGCCTGGGCCAAGTCTGGGATTCATCATGTATACCCCTCACTCATTGCCTGTGACTGTGCCTTCTAAGGGAAGAAGGCATATCCATCCTTTCATGTCCCTTTCCTCCATTTGGAGAGCCCATGACAGTTTTCCTCACAGCTTCTCCTCTCTCTACTGTCAGGTCTACAGATCTCCACATCCCAGCAGTCACCTAGCTGCTCTTCAGGTTCCACAGGCATGCAGGTAACTGAGGAGAGAATCCCCTAGGAGGTGAGATGGCCAGCCTTGGAGTACCCTTCACTACAGGCCAGAGCCCAGGAGGATGGGCCTTCTGTTGCGGATGCTTCTGTTGAGTCATTGTATATTCCCAAGAGCCTTGAGAACACCAGCTGACTAAGCTTAGCCACAGAGTCTCACAAAAGTAAAAACTTGCTAGAAGCCACATGGCCACTAGAAGACAAAGGCAGGATTGAAACCTACATGCTAGATTTCAGATACTGGCTTCTGCCCTTGCCCTTGAGCCCCTGTCTGCAGATGACCTGGAGTTCCCTCTAGAAATGAGGAGGCAACAGTAGAATAATGGATAATCACAGTACACTGTATCCTTTTGAGGGTGGTGCACCAAACCAGGGCTGACTTGTGGGAATGAACCTCTCCCTCACATTTTTGTATCTGCATTCAGAGTGGAGGTGAGAGCTTAGAGGGGACTGCTTTGTCTCTTTTTTAGATAGAGAGTCCCTGAATAATGTTTCAGCTCTTTGTTTAGTATAGCACTGAGTGTGGCACATGTGCAGAATTCAACCCCTTATGCCTCTATTCCTGGGGACTGTGAATAGGAGGCATTTTTCCATATATATGGAAGGAAAGAGGGATGTGTGGCTTGCAAGGAGAAAGCAGAACCTGAGATTGCACTGTAGAAGCATTCCTCCTGGTAGAGGGACCCCAGATAATATAACCACCAGACAATGGACCACATGGAGACAATGATCCCCTTCAGCCCCCTATCCAGAGACTCTGCCCAGAGGAGCAAGCAATTTCAGATGTTCCCAGAGAGAAGGGAGTAAGATTTTATTGTCAGTCGAGGTCAGAGCTGGGAGTGAATCATGAAAGCCCCACCCCAGATAAACAGGGTACAGTGTCCTTTTGACAGTGCTTTTGAGCCATTGAGCCCTCCCCATACTTTCACATCTACATCTGAGGACTCGTGGTACTTAGTGCCAAATTGTAAGCTTCCTGGGCATTAGAGGATGCCTTTGTGCTGACTTCCAGAAATTACACCCTTTTCACATTTCAACAACCAGATCTGGAGACTTTCGGGCTCGAAGCCATTTTATAAGTTTCCTGGAGTGGAGACAGCTGTGCCGCCATTTCCAAGCAGAGGTAAGACCTTAGTGTGGACTTCAAAGGCCCTTTTGGGAATAGATGTTCCCCAAATAATGGATCCTCATACTTGTAGTCAACCTAGCACCAAGTGGGACCTAGTTTTAAGACTGAGCCGCATAGTCCTCCATTTCTGGGGACCCTGCATAGGATCCATTTTCAGACATTCCTGGAGGGAAAGGGGTTTGTGACTTGCAGCGTGAAAGTAGGACTTGAGAGTGGACTGTAAAAACTCTGCTCCCAATAAAGGGACCCTAGATAATGTAGTTCAGCCTGTGCAGCAAGTGCTGCATCAAACAAGGGCCCACTTATTGAAATGAGCCCCTTTCCTTCATTGTTGGGGGTCTCTGCACATAGGGGCCATTTCTGTGGTTCCCAGGGAGGAGGGTGGCAGGTGCCTTTGTGGGTCAAATGAGGTTGAGAGTGGGTCATGGAAGCACCACTCCAGATAGACAGAGTGAGATGATCAAACCACATTGCATCATTTTGAGGGTAGTGTACCAAATGACTGCTGATTGGGAGAATGAGACTCTCTCAACATTTCCTCATCTGTATACAGGGACTTAAGGGACTAAGAGCCATTTTGTGAGGTTCCTGGAGGTTAGAAGGTAATGTGTGAATGTGCCCCTCAACCCACCTTTCACCTTCTACATCCAGGGACTTGTGGGACACTCAGAGCCATTTTGTGAAGTTCTTGGAGGTGAGACAGCCACACTGCCTTTTCTGAGTAGAGGTGAGTACATAAGTTGGACTACAAAGACCCGTTCCATGATAAAGGGTCCCCAAATAATGCAGCTTATCGCTTTGATTAGCATGGCACCAAGTGGAGTCCACTTGTGGGCTAGGGACCCTTGTTCCAACTGTCCTTTGGGACTGGAGGTTTGCAGGAAGAGGCCTGAGACAAGTCCATGGTGAAAGTCATGGGAGATTGGATTGGGGAAGCTCCACTCCAGAAAGTGGGTCCCCAAATATTACACGTATGGTCTGCACTGGTAGCACAATCCAGGCCACGGATGTAGGAATGAGCCTGAAAGATGGATCTGAGTGTCATCAGGGGCCTTGTGAAGAATAAATAAGAATACCGCCAGAGTCCCTCAGACAAATAAGGCCCCTGCTCTTTCTATTTTGAGACACTTCACCAAGGGTTGTGCAGATGTGCTCCATCTTCACTTCTGTCTCCTCTCTCAGGAAGGTGAGGCTGTGGACTGTGTATCATAGAGCAGCAGAAAGAGCCAAGTCTGGTTACAGAGGGACGTGTCCAGTATCTGCTAGCCATCCAGGTGAGCAACTATGGTAAGATGAACTAAACACTTCCTTTTAAAGATACAAATCATTTTCACACATCAAAATTTAAGCAAATATTTATACACAAGACTAAATAATTATTGATTTATACATAGTTTCATGGCATCATTTCAAAATGCCAAAATCCAAGAGAACTAGAGAACCAAACACAGGATGCCTTCCAAATATACTGCATACACAGCTTAGGCTGTGCTGTCAGTGAACATTGGTCTAGAAAGCAGAAATGAACTTTCTTCCAGCTTAGGCAATTGGAAGTCTAAGATCAGGGTATGGCAGAATTCTATTTTTATATGGCCTCTGTATCTATCTTTTAGATTTATGCTGTCTTTCTGGGTATTCACAGGACCTTTTCTGTATGCAGGGCTGGGAAGGAAGTTGAGCACTTAGGTGTCTCACTCTGACTTGTTTTATTTTAAATATTTTGTTTACCATATTTTATGTGTATGAGTATACTGCCTGCATGTATGTAAGTGTACCTTAATGTGCAATACCCACAGAGGTCAGAAGAGGGAGTCAGGTACCCTGGAACTGGAGTTACAGATAATTGTTAGCCACCATGTGGATGCTGAGAATCAAACCCTGATCCTTTGCAAGAGCAGCCAGTGCTCTTAACTGCTGAGCCATCTCTCCAGCCCCATAATATTGTTTTCTTAACCTTAGTCATTACAGCAAATAACTCATGTTGAATATAATTATTTTTTATTACAACGTTATCTGTAGTCTCTCATTCTTGTTAACTAAAATCTAAAGAATACTAATTAGAATTACTTCCCCATGTCCCAAACCCTTATTGAGCACCTGCTGTTTGCAAGGCCCTGTGTTTCCAGTGAGATGTCAGAAGCCAGAGCTATTCTTAAGTATAGACTGGTAAAGTGTAGGAGCAATTGACCTATTGGCAAGACAGTGAAAGTTGCTTTCAGTCCAATGGACGTATGAGTGTATTGCCTTTGCGGTGGAATCAGGGTAGAATCAGGGTGGAATCAGGCAGGGAAGAATCAGGTGCAGGTGTAGCTCAGTGCTAGAACACTTGCATAGCACATGTAGTCCTGTGGGTTGTATTCACATCTCCTCAAAGCACAAAAACAAAATATGCAGAGAGGAATCCTGTTCTGGGGCAGAAATGGCAGTTACAGCTGAACACACCATATACACTGGGTGTTTTTATCTCCGCCATCAGGAAGGGTTTCCTGAGACATGGAAGAATCATAGGAAAGTGTGGCCTAGAAGTCCTTGCCTGGTGCTCTTCCTCCTGCCTGGCAAGGACAGAAAGAGCTGAGTAATAAAAAGACATTGTACTTCTATTTACTCAGAATAATTGGCCAACTCTAAAGAGGCATTGTGTTTGGGGGGAATTGATGAAATGATTGAACATAGTGGTTTGGGTGGAACAACAACGTGGGGGAGGGAGGAGCTCATCGTTGACTCACATTCTAGGAGCTTCCCTGCAGAGGAGACTTTAACACCCAGATTTCAACATGTGTCTGACAAGAGGGATTATTTAGTGAATTTTATTTATGAGATTTCATTGTGGCTGATTAGTCATTCCATGTCCTGCTGAGCTCCATATTCTTTGATATGTCCTGGAGAACAATGACAGTAACAACACTGCCCTCCACCTCCGGGATGGAAGAGACTGTTTTCACACAGCAGAATCATAGTCTCACAGTGGGCTTCCCAGGAGTTGCTTTTACCTGCCCCTTATGCATTAGAAAACTGTGTGGATGGTGAAGGGATCAGGCTTCCATGCATATGCTGGAGAGGAAACTCAGTACTTCTTAGCATGAGTGTGAGCACAGCCCGCTGGAAGACGGAGTGTCTGAGTTCAGCATCAGACACACCTTGGAGGGAAGTTTGCCCACACTGTCGTGTCTGAAGTTCCCTACAGGTGCATGTTCACTTATACATGGATCCCTGGGCTGCTAGGTACACTGAGAATCTGAACTTTGAAGTAGGCAGCTTGAACGTGAAAGGAAAGGACCTGTTACCTATGAGCAAGGACCTGACAAGGCCTCACAGAGAAGTCACTCATGCCAGCTTATGAGACCAAGAAAGTTTTGTTATGTAGAAGTTTGGTAGGAGTCAGTGTGAGTTGGTTTCCTACATCTAAAAACTGAGAGTGGACCATGGATGCATCAGATCTGTTTGTGAAGTGAGGTGGTGGCAGAGAGGGCCAGGAAATGGGATGGACGCCAATTCACGAAGTGTGAGTTGCACTCTGGTCACAGGAGTCAGGGTTGTTCAATTGAGTTTTGCTGTGAACATGGGTTCAGTTGCACACTAAGTTGTTTCCCTAAAGAGAATTCATTGATTGTCTCATTTAGTCATCCAGCCTCTGAGAATCCTTTGTGTGTCTCTGAAGGCTCTGGGCATAAAGACAGCAGGAACAGATGATAAGCTGCAGCTCCATGACTGGGGGACAATACACTTCTATTCAAGTTCCCCCCTGTTGCCCCAGACTGTGCAGTGGAGTAGCTCCTGCTGATGATCCAAAGTCAGACAGTATGATGCTGGTTTATACAGGCATCACCTGCATGGCTCTAGCTACCACCGTGCCTGGGCCAAGTCTGGGATTCATCATGTATACCCCTCACTCATTGCCTGTGACTGTGCCTTCTAAGGGAAGAAGGCATATCCATCCTTTCATGTCCCTTTCCTCCATTTGGAGAGCCCATGACAGTTTTCCTCACAGCTTCTCCTCTCTCTACTGTCAGGTCTACAGATCTCCACATCCCAGCAGTCACCTAGCTGCTCTTCAGGTTCCACAGGCATGCAGGTAACTGAGGAGAGAATCCCCTAGGAGGTGAGATGGCCAGCCTTGGAGTACCCTTCACTACAGGCCAGAGCCCAGGAGGATGGGCCTTCTGTTGCGGATGCTTCTGTTGAGTCATTGTATATTCCCAAGAGCCTTGAGAACACCAGCTGACTAAGCTTAGCCACAGAGTCTCACAAAAGTAAAAACTTGCTAGAAGCCACATGGCCACTAGAAGACAAAGGCAGGATTGAAACCTACATGCTAGATTTCAGATACTGGCTTCTGCCCTTGCCCTTGAGCCCCTGTCTGCAGATGACCTGGAGTTCCCTCTAGAAATGAGGAGGCAACAGTAGAATAATGGATAATCACAGTACACTGTATCCTTTTGAGGGTGGTGCACCAAACCAGGGCTGACTTGTGGGAATGAACCTCTCCCTCACATTTTTGTATCTGCATTCAGAGTGGAGGTGAGAGCTTAGAGGGGACTGCTTTGTCTCTTTTTTAGATAGAGAGTCCCTGAATAATGTTTCAGCTCTTTGTTTAGTATAGCACTGAGTGTGGCACATGTGCAGAATTCAACCCCTTATGCCTCTATTCCTGGGGACTGTGAATAGGAGGCATTTTTCCATATATATGGAAGGAAAGAGGGATGTGTGGCTTGCAAGGAGAAAGCAGAACCTGAGATTGCACTGTAGAAGCATTCCTCCTGGTAGAGGGACCCCAGATAATATAACCACCAGACAATGGACCACATGGAGACAATGATCCCCTTCAGCCCCCTATCCAGAGACTCTGCCCAGAGGAGCAAGCAATTTCAGATGTTCCCAGAGAGAAGGGAGTAAGATTTTATTGTCAGTCGAGGTCAGAGCTGGGAGTGAATCATGAAAGCCCCACCCCAGATAAACAGGGTACAGTGTCCTTTTGACAGTGCTTTTGAGCCATTGAGCCCTCCCCATACTTTCACATCTACATCTGAGGACTCGTGGTACTTAGTGCCAAATTGTAAGCTTCCTGGGCATTAGAGGATGCCTTTGTGCTGACTTCCAGAAATTACACCCTTTTCACATTTCAACAACCAGATCTGGAGACTTTCGGGCTCGAAGCCATTTTATAAGTTTCCTGGAGTGGAGACAGCTGTGCCGCCATTTCCAAGCAGAGGTAAGACCTTAGTGTGGACTTCAAAGGCCCTTTTGGGAATAGATGTTCCCCAAATAATGGATCCTCATACTTGTAGTCAACCTAGCACCAAGTGGGACCTAGTTTTAAGACTGAGCCGCATAGTCCTCCATTTCTGGGGACCCTGCATAGGATCCATTTTCAGACATTCCTGGAGGGAAAGGGGTTTGTGACTTGCAGCGTGAAAGTAGGACTTGAGAGTGGACTGTAAAAACTCTGCTCCCAATAAAGGGACCCTAGATAATGTAGTTCAGCCTGTGCAGCAAGTGCTGCATCAAACAAGGGCCCACTTATTGAAATGAGCCCCTTTCCTTCATTGTTGGGGGTCTCTGCACATAGGGGCCATTTCTGTGGTTCCCAGGGAGGAGGGTGGCAGGTGCCTTTGTGGGTCAAATGAGGTTGAGAGTGGGTCATGGAAGCACCACTCCAGATAGACAGAGTGAGATGATCAAACCACATTGCATCATTTTGAGGGTAGTGTACCAAATGACTGCTGATTGGGAGAATGAGACTCTCTCAACATTTCCTCATCTGTATACAGGGACTTAAGGGACTAAGAGCCATTTTGTGAGGTTCCTGGAGGTTAGAAGGTAATGTGTGAATGTGCCCCTCAACCCACCTTTCACCTTCTACATCCAGGGACTTGTGGGACACTCAGAGCCATTTTGTGAAGTTCTTGGAGGTGAGACAGCCACACTGCCTTTTCTGAGTAGAGGTGAGTACATAAGTTGGACTACAAAGACCCGTTCCATGATAAAGGGTCCCCAAATAATGCAGCTTATCGCTTTGATTAGCATGGCACCAAGTGGAGTCCACTTGTGGGCTAGGGACCCTTGTTCCAACTGTCCTTTGGGACTGGAGGTTTGCAGGAAGAGGCCTGAGACAAGTCCATGGTGAAAGTCATGGGAGATTGGATTGGGGAAGCTCCACTCCAGAAAGTGGGTCCCCAAATATTACACGTATGGTCTGCACTGGTAGCACAATCCAGGCCACGGATGTAGGAATGAGCCTGAAAGATGGATCTGAGTGTCATCAGGGGCCTTGTGAAGAATAAATAAGAATACCGCCAGAGTCCCTCAGACAAATAAGGCCCCTGCTCTTTCTATTTTGAGACACTTCACCAAGGGTTGTGCAGATGTGCTCCATCTTCACTTCTGTCTCCTCTCTCAGGAAGGTGAGGCTGTGGACTGTGTATCATAGAGCAGCAGAAAGAGCCAAGTCTGGTTATAGAGGGACGTGTCCAGTATCTGCTAGCCATCCAGGTGAGCAACTATGGTAAGAACTGATCTTGTGAGGACAGTCCACACAACCCCTCTAAAAAGGAACTCATAGATCCTAGCTTATCCATTTGTGCTGCCTGGGGAACCTTAGCAGGGCAGCTGCTGTGGCTGACTTCTTTTCTGCTTCATGAAATGGAGTAGGAATTCTCAAGCAGAAGATGACCTTGGTCCTCTTGAAGTTAGGTCAGCTGGGGGAGCCAGATATGAAGAGTAGGATTCAACTTACGGATCTCTCCCATGCTGCAGGGATCTCTGGCCCACAGAGGCAGTCAGTACTCACAGGCATTAAGTAACATGCTTAACTGGACTAGTTCAGGCAGGAAGGTAGGAGTGTTTTTCAGTGATGAAACCTGATATAAACAGGTGATGTCAAGAAGGACAGGTAAGAGGAATGAACTTCAAGTGGACTTAGGGAACCTCCATGAGTCCAAGTCATGGAGGCATCACTGGAGATCCCACAGTGGGGTGAAGAGATGTGGCACCTGCTCAGTTCTGGGAGTTCTCAGGATGTCAACGAGGTGGGGAACTTCACCTGAGCGGGTGACCTTAGTTAAGAACATCGGTTCCAAGATTTGTCAAGAATCCAGATAAGGACCCCAAGGGATGACTGAAGGAAACTTCAGTCCAAAGCACAGATAGGGGCCACACAAGAGTCTTCCCTTAACCCCAATTACCCCCATAATCCCGGGCAGGGCTGTTATTCTGAGTCCCTGTCTTACTTCCAGGTCATTGGTCTCAGGGAACTGAAAGATCTGCTCAGAGCAACCTTGACTCGGGTCATCAAAGGGGGGATCCCAGGCTTGTCAGGATTCAAGAAGAGGACTGAGGGAGTCTATCAACCAAACACATGGGATCTACCCCCTCCCTGCCTTCTTGTCAGTCTGCTATGGCAATCCCTAGGAACTTTGAGTGGATTCCCTCCCCTCACCAATTCATTTCTTTTATGTCACAAAATGGGCCTTGCCTTATGTAAGGTGGGTACAGGGATCCCAAGGAATGTTCTAGTCCTTGTTGTTTATCAGGGTGGGAATCAGGGGAGTCTCCTGCCCTAGGACAAATGAACCACACTGAATTGGGCTACCTTTTGCAGTTGATATTAAACAAGTTTGAGGAGATTCGAGGCCCCCTCACTTTCAGGAGACACAGAAACTTGTTCTCACACTTTGTCTCAGTCAAAAAGAGAAGTACACACCGAGGATTCGTGTCTCTCCCTCTTTCAGGTCCTCATGGGGAATGCATGCCAGGTGATTTTCGGCCCTGGAGTACCACACAAGCAAAATCTTCTAACAGACATTTTTTGAAAGCTATCAGAGGAACAACTGCCAGAGAGTCCACTCACCCTGTTCCTCTCTCTCTCCCAGGTCTGTGAATCCTCTTCCTTGTGAGCTGCACACTTTCCTGTCTGCTGTTCCTAAGGAAAGTCATGATGCATCATACTCGGGATAGCCGGTACAGAAATCTTCAGGATGGCTCTCAGTCCCAAAGGGGGGTGAGGGGCCTGGATAGTGCCCAGGTCCCCATGGTTGAGGAAGCAGAAATGATTGCCACCACATCAAGGGAGCTGTCTGATGGAGGAACACCAGGTTCTTCCCAGAGTTCTCTGAGGGCCTCTTCTCCACCTATGGTCATGGGTCCCAATTCAGGAAGACCATCAGATGAAGCCTCTCACAATGAAGTAGAGGAACACGAAGAACCTGTGCCCTCAATGCATGATGCACTAAAACTAAAGATAGTTGAGTTGGTGTATTTCCTGCTCCTCAAGTATCAAAGGAAGGAGCTGATCACCAAGGCAGAAATACTGGATAGTGTCATCAGAGATTATGAGGAGCACTACCCTGTGATCTTTAGTGAGGCCTCTGAGAGCCTAAAACTGGCCTTTGGGATTGATGTGTTGGAAGTGAACCCCCTTATCCACACCTATGTCCTTATCAGTTCCTTGGGGATCACCTATGATGGGATGTATCATGGTGCCCTGGGCATACCCAAGACAGGCCTTCTAATAATGTCCCTGTGCATTATCTTCATGGAGGGCAACTATGTCAGTGAGGAGAGGTTCTGGGAAGTGTTGAGTAAAATAGGGATGTATGATGGGAGGAATCACTTCCTATTTGGGGAGCCCAGGAAACTCTTTACTAAGAATTTTGTGCAGGAAGGGTACCTGGAGTACAGGCGGGTGCCTGAGAGTGATCCTCCTCGATTTGAGTTCCTGTGGGGCCCAAGAGCCCACGCTGAAACCACCAAGATGAAAATCTTGGAATTTTTTGCAAGTGTAGCTAGGAGTGATCCCAGGTCCTACCCTGACAGATATGCAGATGCTTTGAGAGATGAAGGAGAGAGGGCCTAGGCCAGAATTGCCCAGCAGGCATTGATGCTTAGAATAGTGCAAGTTCAAGATTACTAGCAGCTTTCAGGTAACATAGGTAGAGCCAGTGATATAAATAATAGTGTGTCAGGCTACAACTGGTGGTAGTAAACTGGATCATTCCATTTTTTCTGTTCTGTTTTGGTGACTCACGATATGTCTTCATTATATTCCAATTTTTTTCTCCTTTTACTAGAAGGTTCATTAAGTTTAGATTTTAAAGTTACAAACTATGTTAGTAATGTATCTGTTACTGATTATCCAGGTTAAGAGAGTGTTACTGTTTTGTTTAAGAAATTAATATGCCTTTCATTTTACTTGTAATCTATCACTAGTTGCCATGGAATTCAAGTTGCTATTTCTTTGGTAATGTGAAATAACTTGGCATTAACATGAACAATAGAATAAAACTGTTAATTCTTTTTATTGCCTTATGATCTTTAGTCTCTAATTATCAGTATTTAATGATTCTGCCCCAAACTTTCACTGAGTACCTAAGCTTTACAATGTCCTATATTAGTAGTGAAATTCTAGAAGCCAGACCCGACCTTACCCATGCAATGGTTGAGTGCAGGAGCAACAGCTGTACCAGGAACACTGTGAGAAGTCCTTTTAGACCCAAAGTACAGGTACAGAGTGGGGTCTCCGAGGGCAAACAGCCCAGAGTCAGTGTCCTTAACCTAAGCAGTTTGGGAATTGTGGACTTTCCAATTCTTTCTGGGGAAGTTGATTGCAATGAAACTCCAAATTAGCAAGGTTCAGGCCCTTGGGAAATGTGAATGACATAGGGGTGGGTAAAAGGGAAACTGACCTGAGCAATGCCTTTCTCGTTGGTGAACATGAGCAGGGAGGAATCAGGCTGGGAATGTAGCTCAGGGTAGAACATTGCATAGCATGTGTGATTCCGTGAATCTCCTCAAAACACAAAACCAAAATATGTGGAGAGGAATCCTGTTTGGGGGCAGGAATGGTAGTTACAGCTGAATACCATACACACTGGATAGTTTACCCCATCATCTGCAAGGGTTTCCTGAGACATGGAGGAATCATGGGAGAGAAAGACCTAAAATTTCTGTCCAGGTGCTCTCCTTCCTGTCTGGTAAGGAGAACTAGAGCTGACTATTAAGACATTTTAATTGAGTTATAGTCAGTGCTAAGTTTGGACTGATTTGCAAGGCTGTGAGACAGACATGGGGAGGTAATCACTGGATCTCCTTCTCCTTCTTACCAATATGCCCACATTAAAAGATATCCTTTTTCTTCTCTCTACTATTAATGGCCAAGTCTCATTTTTTAGTGCTGCCAGAACACAGGCTCACATTCTAATAAGTGAGTGGTAACAGTCTTTCTGAACCTTCTGACTTCCATACCAGGTACACTTGGCTGTTAAAAGGATTTTGAGCCTCCCTCCAGCACTTGGTGAAAGCTTCCTATTTCCATATGCTATTAAATGTTTCTTCTACTGATGCATCCATTTATGGCTTGAAACACGTCTATGAGAGGAGGGCCTTGGAATGAATGTCAACAACATCTGGAGTTGCAGCATGATGCTACCTATACTAGCAACTTGAGTTCTTTTAGACACATAAAAAAATTTCAGAGTAACCACTCTCCTCTCTGCTTTAAAGCAAGGCTGAAGGCTAGGATGGGGAGCAGCAGAGCAGTCCACACGCTGGCTGCGGATCTCCCCAAGGCTGGACCCAGAGCCTCACGTTCATCTCAAGTTCTCTCCATCTTATTTTTTAAAATATTTTATTTATTTTTATTTTATATTTATGAGTGTATTGCCTGCATGTATGGAAATGCACCATGTCATGCAATGCCCATGGAGGCCATCAGATTAACTAGAACTGAAGTTACGAATGGTTGGGAGCTGCCATAGGGGTGCTTGGAATCAAACCCCAGGTCCTCTGCAAGAGAAACCAGTGCTCTTAACTACTGAGCCATCTCGACAGACCCCATACTTGATGTTTTGCACATTGTGTTTTATCTGGGTGGTGAACATCCAAACTCGGGTCCTCATGCTTGTGTGTGACAAGTACTTTACTGATTGCATCATCTTCCCAGTCCCAAGCTTGACATTATGGCAAGCTCCAGCAAACTTGGAATTTATGAAGGAAATACAGTTTTTTTTCTTGTTGTATTTTATTTTATTTATTTACTTATTTATTTTTTGCATTGAGAGAGAATGTGTGTGTCTTAAGAACAGTAGCAGACTGGGGAGATGGCTCAGTGAGTGAAAGTGCTTGTTGGACAAGTGTGAGGGCCTAAGAGGAAAGCCCCAGAACCCTCACAAAAGCTGGAGATGTAGCTCAAGGCTCTGTAATCTCAGTGCTCCTACAAGCAGATGGGAGGCAGAGACAGAAGAGTTACCAGAAGCCTGTGGGTCAGCTGGCTTGGCGCACATGTGAAAGCAATTGAAAGTTCCTGTCTCAAACATGGTGAGGACTGATACCTGTCGTTGACCTCTGCCTGCCACACATGCTCTGTGGTACATCTGTTCCTGAACACACACACACACACACACACACACACACACACATGCACACACACACACGCACACACACACGAGCCCACAAAAAATTAATGGATACATTTTTAAAAGATAAAAAGAGAAGGACAGTAGCCAAATGCGGTTGTGCAAGCCTATAATACCATCACTTGGGATGTAGAAGGAGGATCACTGGAGGTGATCCTCCAGTATACAGTGAGTTTGAGACAAGCCTGGGCTACCTTAGGCATTGTCTGGGAAAACAAACAAGAAATGTAATATATTTGGGGCTGGAGAGACAGCTCAGTAGTTAAGAGCACTAGTTGCTCTTCCGGAGGAATCTGGTTTGATTCCCAGCACCTACATGGCAGCTAACAATGATCCGTAACTCCAGTTCCAGGGGATCCGACACCGTCTTCTTACCTCCATGGGCATTGCACAACATGGGTGAAATTATACACATGTAGGCAATACACTCATACACAGAAAAGAAAAATAATAAAATATTTTTTAAATGCAATATGTACACAAAAATGGCAGATACTTATTAAGAGAGAGACATACTTAAGTTTCTTAATTCTCTCTCTTTCTCTTTCACACAGAGTATTTTGTTAATTTTTGAAGTTACACTATTTAAAATATTTAAAAGTTGAAGTTAAGATGTTTCAATAAATTATACACATGTAGGCAATACACTCATACACAGAAAAGAAAAATAATAAAATATTTTTTAAATGCAATATGTACACAAAAATGGCAGATACTTATTAAGAGAGAGACATACTTAAGTTTCTTAATTCTCTTTCTCTTTCACACAGAGTATTTTGTTAATTTTTGAAGTTACACTATTTAAAATATTTAAAAGTTGAAGTTAAGATGTTTCAATATACTTATCTTTGACCTAAAGAATTTTAGTGTGGGCCTAGGAATAGGTGCTCTAAGAAGCATGTGAAAGACCCTATGGTCTATCATCAGCAGTAAACAAAAAAAGACTTGCTCTACCTGGTGATCACAACTATAACAACAGCACTGGCGGGATTGCTGTGAATTGTAGGTCAGCCTGCCCTACTCAGTGAGGAGCCATTGTGACTTTGTAGGGTGTCTGGTCTACTGAGACTTTTCTTCAGTTAGTGAGATTATGACGTGGCTTATGAGGTGCATCTTATAGGTGTATTGACTCACAAGAGAAATAATGGGTTCAAAAAGGTCAAAAGAATTCTTACTACACATGGGTGACAAGGAGGTCAAGACATGTTCTGACAGAGCACAGTTCATAATTGTATTTGTGGGATTCTCTCAGAAAAGGCATTATCATCCTTTGCAGGTAGTTTGGACTCTTGGTGAGAGACTTCAAGCAGATTCCTGGACTGCGGGTCCTCTTTCCTTTCCCATGTCCCCTTCATTGAAGTTTTTATTTATTTATTTTTGTTTTATGTGCATGAGTGTTTTGCTAGCATGTAAGTGCACCCTTGTCCTGCAATGCCCGAAGAGCTCAGAAGAGGGCCCTTAGCCTGTATCTCCCTGTTCCATGGGGCTGATGCCCAGCCCTTAGCCTGTATCTCCCTGTTCCATGGGGCTGATGCCCAGCCCTTAGCCTGTATCTCCCTGTTCCATGGGGCTGATGCCCAGCCCTTAGCCTGTATCTCCCTGTTCCATGGGGCTGATGCCCAGCCCTTAGCCTGTATCTCCCTGTTCCATGGGGCTGATGCCCAGCCCTTAGCCTGTATCTCCCTGTTCCATGGGGCTGATGCCCAGCCCTTAGCCTGTATCTCCCTGTTCCATGGGGCTGATGCCCAGCCCTTAGCCTGTATCTCCCTGTTCCATGGGGCTGATGCCCAGCCCTTAGCCTGTATCTCCCTGTTCCATGGGGCTGATGCCCAGCCCTTAGCCTGTATCTCCCTGTTCCATGGGGCTGATGCCCAGCCCTTAGCCTGTATCTCCCTGTTCCATGGGGCTGATGCCCAGCCCTTAGCCTGTATCTCCCTGTTCCATGGGGCTGATGCCCAGCCCTTAGCCTGTATCTCCCTGTTCCATGGGGCTGATGCCCAGCCCTTAGCCTGTATCTCCCTGTTCCATGGGGCTGATGCCCAGCCCTTAGCCTGTATCTCCCTGTTCCATGGGGCTGATGCCCAGCCCTTAGCCTGTATCTCCCTGTTCCATGGGGCTGATGCCCAGCCCTTAGCCTGTATCTCCCTGTTCCATGGGGCTGATGCCCAGCCCTTAGCCTGTATCTCCCTGTTCCATGGGGCTGATGCCCAGCCCTTAGCCTGTATCTCCCTGTTCCATGGGGCTGATGCCCAGCCCTTAGCCTGTATCTCCCTGTTCCATGGGGCTGATGCCCAGCCCTTAGCCTGTATCTCCCTGTTCCATGGGGCTGATGCCCAGCCCTTAGCCTGTATCTCCCTGTTCCATGGGGCTGATGCCCAGCCCTTAGCCTGTATCTCCCTGTTCCATGGGGCTGATGCCCAGCCCTTAGCCTGTATCTCCCTGTTCCATGGGGCTGATGCCCAGCCCTTAGCCTGTATCTCCCTGTTCCATGGGGCTGATGCCCAGCCCTTAGCCTGTATCTCCCTGTTCCATGGGGCTGATGCCCAGCCCTTAGCCTGTATCTCCCTGTTCCATGGGGCTGATGCCCAGCCCTTAGCCTGTATCTCCCTGTTCCATGGGGCTGATGCCCAGCCCTTAGCCTGTATCTCCCTGTTCCATGGGGCTGATGCCCAGCCCTTAGCCTGTATCTCCCTGTTCCAAGGGGCTGATGCCCATCCCTTAGCCTGTGTCCGTGTTCTGTGGAGCTGATGCTCAGCCCTTAGCCTGTATCTTCCTGTTCCATGGGTCTGATACCCAGCCCCTAGCCTATGTCCATGTTCCATGGGGCTAATGCCAACAACTCAAAGG